ATTGAAATCCAAGAGGCACAGAGAACTCCCTTCAGACGTAACTTGAATCGATCTTCTGCATGACATGCCATAGTGAAACTGGCAAAATACAAGGATAAAGAGAAAATTCTGAAAGCAGCAAGGGATAAACGTGCCCTCACATATAAAGGGAGACCTACAAGACTCCTAACTGATCTCTCTTTTGAAACTTGGCAGGCCAGAAAGAATTGGCACGAGATTTTCAGTGTGCTAGACAGAAAAAATATGCAGCCGAGAATCCTTTATCCAGCAAGTCTGTCATTTAGAATAGAAGGAGAGATAAAGGTCTTCCCAAACAAACAAATACTGAAGGAATTTGTCACCACTAAACCAGCCCTCCAAGAGATCCTAAGGGGGACCCTGTGAGACAAAGTACCAGAGACATCACTACAAGCATAAAACATACAGACATCACAATGACTCTAAACCCATATCTTTCTATAATAACACTGAATGTAAATGGATTAAATGCGCCAACCAAAAGACATAGGGTATCAGAATGGATAAAAAAACAAGACCCATCTATTTGCTGTCTACAAGAGACTCATTTTAGACCTGAGGACACCTTTAGATTGAGAGTGAGGGGATGGAGAACTATTTATCATGCTACTGGAAGCCAAAAGAAAGCTGGAGTAGCCATACTTATATCAGACAAACTAGACTTTAAATTAAAGGCTGTAACAAGAGATGAAGAAGGACATTATATAATAGTGACAGGGTCTATCCATCAGGAAGAGCAAACAATTATAAATGTCTATGCGCCGAATACCAGAGCACCCAAATATATAAAACAATTACTCATAAACATAAGCAACCTTATTGATAAGAATGTGGTAATTGCAGGGGACTTTAACACCCCACTTACAGAAATGGATAGATCATCTAGACACACGGTCAATAAAGAAACAAGGGCCCTGAATGAGACATTGGATCAGATGGACTTGACAGATACATTTAGATCTCTGCATCCCAAAGCAACAGAATATACTTTCTTCTGGAGTGCACATGGAACATTCTCCAAGATAGATCATATACTGGGTCACAAAACAGCCCTTCATAAGTTTACAAGAATTGAAATCATACCATGCATACTTTCAGACCACAATGCTATGAAGCTTGAAATCAACCACAGAAAAAAGTCTGGAAAACCTCCAAAAGCATGGAGGTTAAAGAACACCCTACTAACGAATGAGTGGGTCAACCAGGCAATTCGAGAAGAAATTAAAAAATATATGGAAACAAACGAAAATGAAAATACAACAGTCCAAACGCTTTGGGACGCAGCGAAGGCAGTCCTGAGAGGAAAATACATTGCAATCCAGGCCTATCTCAAGAAACAAGAAAAATCCCAAATACAAAATCTAACAGCACACCTAAAGGAACTAGAAGCAGAACAGCAAAGGCAGCCTAAACCCAGCAGAAGAAGAGAAATAATAAAGATCAGAGCAGAAATAAACAATATAGAATCTAAAAAAACTGTAGAGCAGATCAACGAAACCAAGAGTTGGTTTTTTGAAAAAATAAACAAAATTGACAAACCTCTAGCCAGGCTTCTCAAAAAGAAACGGGAGATGACCCAAATAGATAAAATCATGAATGAAAATGGAATTATTACAACCAATCCCTCAGAGATACAAACAATTATCAGGGAATACTATGAAAAATTATATGCCAACAAATTGGACAACCTGGAAGAAATGGACAAATTCCTGAACACCCACACTCTTCCAAAACTCAATCAGGAGGAAATAGAAAGCTTGAACAGACCCATCACCAGTGAAGAAACTGAATCGGTTATCAAAAATCTCCCAACAAATAAGAGTCCAGGACCAGATGGCTTCCCAGGGGAGTTCTACCAGACGTTTAAAGCAGAGATAATACCTATCCTTCTCAAGCTATTCCAAAAAATAGAAAGGGAAGGAAAACTTCCAGACTCATTCTATGAAGCCAGTATTACTTTGATTCCTAAACCAGACAGAGACCCAGTAAAAAAAGAGAACTACAGGCCAGTATCCCTGATGAATATGGATGCAAAAATTCTCAATAAGATACTAGCAAATCGAATTCAACGGCATATAAAAAGAATTACTCACCATGATCAAGTGGGATTCATTCCTGGGATGCAGGGCTGGTTCAATATTCGCAAATCAATCAACGTGATACATCACATTAACAAAAAAAAAAGAGAAGAACCATATGATCCTGTCAATCGATGCAGAAAAGGCCTTTGACGAAATCCAGCACCCTTTCTTAATAAAAACCCTTGAGAAAGTCGGGATAGAAGGAACATACTTAAAGATCATAAAAGCCATTTATGAAAAGCCCACAGCTAACATCATCTTCAACGGGGAAAAACTGAGAGCTTTTTCCCTGAGATCAGGAACATGACAGGGATGCCCACTCTCACCGCTGTTGTTTAACATAGTGCTGGAAGTTCTAGCATCAGCAATCAGACAACAAAAGGAAATCAAAGGCATCAAAATTGGCAAAGATGAAGTCAAGCTTTCGCTTTTTGCAGATGACATGATATTATACATGGAAAATCCGATAGACTCCACCAAAAGTCTGCTAGAACTGATACCTGAATTCAGCAAAGTTGCAGGATACAAAATCAATGTACAGAAATCAGTTGCATTCTTATACACTAACAATGAAGCAACAGAAAGACAAATAAAGAAACTGATCCCATTCACAATTGCACCAAGAAGCATAAAATACCTAGGGATAAATCTAACCAAAGATGTAAAGGATCTGTATGCTGAAAACTATAGAAAGCTTATGAAGGTAATTGAAGAAGATTTAAAGAAATGGAAAGACATTCCCTGCTCATGGATTGGAAGAATAAATATTGTCAAAATGTCAATACTACCCAAAGCTATCTACACATTCAATGCAATCCCAATCAAAATTGCACCAGCATTCTTCTCGAAACTAGAACAAGCCATCCTAAAATTCATATGGAACCACAAAAGGCCCCGAATAGCCAAAGTAATTTTGAAGAAGAAGACCAAAGCAGGAGGCATCACAATCCCAGACTTTAGCCTCTACTACAAAGCTGTCATCATCAAGACAGCATGGTATTGGCACAAAAACAGACACATAGACCAATGGAATAGAATAGAAACCCCACAACTAGACCCACAAACGTATGGCCAACTCATCCTCGACAAAGCAGGAAAGAACATCCAATGGAAAAAAGACAGTCTCTTTAACAAATGGTGCTGGGAGAACTGGACAGCAACATGCAGAAGGTTGACACTAGACCACTTTCTCACACCATTCACAAAAATAAACTCAAAATGGATAAAGGACCTGAATGTGAGACAGGAAACCATCAAAACCCTAGAGGAGAAAGCAGGAAAAGACCTCTCTGACCTCAGCCGTAGCAATCTCTTACTCGACACATCCCCAAAGGCAAGGGAATTAAAAGCAAAAGTGAATTACTGGGACCTTATGAAGATAAAAAGCTTCTGCACAGCAAAGGAAACAACCAACAAAACGAAAAGGCAACCAACGGAATGGGAAAAGATATTTGCAAATGACATATCGGACAAAGGGCTAGTATCCAAAATCTATAAAGAGCTCACCAAACTCCACACCTGAAAAGCAAATAACCCAGTGAAGAAATGGGCAGAAAACATGAATAGACACTTCTCTAAAGAAGACATCCGGATGGCCAACAGGCACATGAAAAGATGTTCAGCGTCGCTCCTTATCAGGGAAATACAAATCAAAACCACACTCAGGTATCACCTCACGCCAGTCAGAGTGGCCAAAATGAACAAATCAGGAGACTATAGATGCTGGAGAGGATGTGGAGAAACGGGAACCCTCTTGCACTGTTGGTGGGAATGCAAATTGGTGCAGCCGCTCTGGAAAGCGGTGTGGAGGTTCCTCAGAAAATTAAAAATAGACCTACCCTATGACCCAGCAATAGCACTGCTAGGAATTTATCCAAGGGACACAAGAGTACTGATGCATAGGGGCACTTGTACCCCAATGTTCATAGCAGCACTCTCAACAATAGCCAAATTATGGAAAGAGCCTAAATGTCCATCAACTGATGAATGGATAAAGAAATTGTGGTTTATATACACTATGGAATACTACGTGGCAATGAGAAAAAATGAAATATGGCCTTTTGTAGCAACGTGGATGGAACTGGAGAGTGTGATGCTAAGTGAAATAAGCCATACAGAGAAAGACAGATACCATATGGTTTCACTCTTATGTGGATCCTGAGAAACTTAACAGGAACCCATGGGGGAAGGGAAGGAAAAAAAAAAAAAGAGGTTAGAGTGGGAGAGAGCCAAAGCATAAGAGACTGTTGAGAACTGAGAACAAACTAAGGGTTGATGGGGGGTGGGAGGGAGGAGAGGGTGGGTGATGCGTATTGAGGAGGGCACCTTTTGGGATGAGCACTGGGTGTTGTATGGAAACCAATTTGACAGTAAATTTCATATATAAAAAAAAAAAGAAAGAAGGAAGAGGTATGAGATGTATTTAAGGTCTGTCATAAGATGGACTTGATACCTTTGGAGTCAAATATATCTTGGCTTGAATATTTCCCTAAAATTGACTAGGTGTGGGGCTTTGATCTAGTTATTTAATTTTCTAACATTCTATCCTGGCAACAAAGTAGTCATAAGCAGCATCAATATATGATAGATTGCAAATATGATGACAAACTCTTCTCATCCCTGCACCTATGCTCTGGTGGTGTGATTTTGCAGATCTTCCTTTTAAGAAATGGAGCCTATTAATTTGTTCCTTGATTCTGGGTTGGCTTATACCACTTTTTATTGGCCAGTGGAACATTAGCAGTATGATGCAAGCAGAGGCTAAAAAAAATTATTGCACAATGAGGTTTCCCATCTACTTGTGCTCTTTGAATTCCCGCCACCACCACCATGTGACAAAGCCCTGGATGTCTGCTGTTTTATAGCCTACATGTGGCCCAGTCACTTCTGTCATCACCCACTATTGCCAGCCAATCCAAGCAGCAGAGCCTTCCAACTGACTGGCAGGTGACTGTATTCACGTAAGTGATCTTCGTTGAGACCAATAGAACAACCCATCCGAGACCACTTCAAACTGTGAAGAACGTGAGCTAAATAGATGGCTGTTTCAAGCCACTAGGTTTTGGGGTTGTTACAAAGCAATAGGTAAGTGATACATAGAGTTAGTGGGAATTAAGGTTGGAGGTGATTAAACTCGCATTAGAGTTTGGGAATGGAAACACTGGAAGCATAAAATTCTCCATGATAATTTAAAATATGTATTAGAAGATGACTATGAATCATTTTATTTGTTTTGAAAGCTGAGGGAAATAGCTAATTGGGATTGTAAGAGAAAGAAATAAAGGGCATTCCTTTAAGAACACGAAGGAATCTATATATAATGCAAAGTATCTTAAAATATATATTAAGTTAACTGGAGTTCCTTAAAGCACAATTCCAGGCTCTATCTCACCCTTACTGAACTTGAAATTTTGCATTAGTGGAAAGTGTAGACACATACTGTAGAATGTCAACCTAGAAAACATATGAGAAGTTTTATTCACTGTGACTATATAAATTTATAATGAAACACTTTAGATTTTAATGTTTTATTCTTAAAGTTACAGGAATGAAAAAGTTTTGCCAGTTCTCCTTCCAACTGTAGAAGGAAAGGTGGCATGAAAACTTTTATGGATTTCTCTGGAGATTTAACTTTTATTAAGTAAAATTCTATTTCTGGTAAAATAGAATCCAAATTCCATTGAAGCAACTCCCAAAATACACTTTGCAATAGAAATATTATTTAATTAGATATGTGTATGTGTTTAATTCCTAGACATTGGTATACATGCATCAGAAACAGAGAGAGTATTGTCTTGGGTTCTAGATTTAGATATTACTTATTGTTTTAACTTGATCAAATCATTTATCTGCTCTCTTTGTGTCCACCCTATAAAATAAGAATGTTGAATTAGGGTCTCTAAAGTACCTTTCCAAGATTCCATGATTAATGACACAGGTTCCTGTTTTTAATTCCATATAATCCAACATAAACTGACCATTTAATTAACAATACCACTATGCTCACATGAGTATTTTTTGTTTGCTTATGTAATTATGTACACATAAAGGGACTGATTCCTTAGGTCTCATTCTTCTTTGTGGCCATAAGCCGTGAATGACCCAAACATCAGTTTATGCCATCTATTCAGTATAAGCTTCTTCCCAATCGATATTATGTGGTCACTTGTCAGGAGAATGCAACCAAGAAGGATCACCACAGGTGCACCTTCAACCTTGTTATTGATTTGCCATCTTTGATTTATAAAGTATATCACGATTTCCAATTAATGTTATTCAGCTGTGTTTGATTGCTTCAGTGTTTAAAAGGTTTCATTATTGATTTGTTTTAATGGCAAATCACATTCAGCATCCAATCTATGCTATGCAGTTTTTTAGAACATGTGAATATATTTCTTGCATTCAGTTTTCTTTCACTATTCTTATAATGGAATGAAAGACTGCAAAACCATTTTCATTCATACATAACATTTTGATTATTATATTGCTTGGTATGATTTAAAAAGGAAAAGATTAAATTACCCTGAAGGGAGGAGAATTATGAAATAATACCAAACAACTGAGGTAGGCTTCTTAAAGGATGTGTTTCAAAAAGTGGTAATAGATTAGCCATGCACAGAGGGAAAATAGGAGACCAATTTCTGGATCCGATTTGAAGACTCAAAAGACTCTAATCAAGATAAAAGAATCACTTCAACACTCTAGCTCACAACGTGGAATTCTCTTTATTAATGTAACCTTTTGTTTAAGGCATTTTCTCAGACAAATTAAAATGCACCTTCCCATCCTGTAAATGATATCATATTAACTAATTCACACCTATTCTTTTAATAGCATGCATAAATTAAATTAAATTTCTTAGCTGAAAACCATGCATGATTTAATGGTTATCAAAATGGAGCAAATAAACTCTATAAATTAATGGCAATGTATACCTTCAGCTATCAGGAGTAGAAATTTGGGCTGGCAGGGTTAGGTATATTAAGAAGCCAAAATTAAAGCCAGTGCAGCCAGGGACAGCAAAATGTGTGTGCACATGCCTTTCTTATGAATGTGGGTAAGTCTAAGAGTGGCAGCGTTCACTCTTGATTCTCCTTACGATGCATCCTCTGCTTCCTGTGCTTAGATCCCACACTCAGGATCTTACTCAGAAGCTAAGATACAGCTGTAGCAGCTGTTTTTAAGAAGTGCTAGAGAAGATTCAGATTTGCACCAGAGTTTGAGGATCACTAATTTCCACTAATTATCCCTAGAGGAAAGTGATCCATGAGAGGCTGGACTCTGAGATTCAGTAAAAATAGAGCTCTTTATTAACACAGCACCTTTCCATGATGTGTTTCAAAGGAGTAACTAGAGCAGTAAAAATTGACACCACAGCTCAAGGATGTAAATAAGGTCTTAAATTAATAATCAACATACAACCGGGGGGGAGGGGGCAGGTAATGGATATAAAGGAAAATAGATACTGTTAAGAAGTAAATAATACAAATTAGAAAAAAAAGAGGATGGTTTTTCTAGTTGGGAAAATAGTCTTTAACATGACTGGGCAATTATAATTTACATGAAATAAATAAGTGTAATGTAATAATATAATAATATAATCTAAATTCATCAATTGTTTCATTCATCAGTTCATCACTTTTTTGATGCCTCTGTTATTTTGTTTGTTTTACATATTAGTATATCTACAATGGAAATTCATCTAATATTAATTGTGCCCTTCTGTCTTATCATTGTTATCAGGCAAGTAGTAGTTTTGTTGTAGTTGCTAAAAATTTTCCATTGATGCCTTTGGGTAAGATCAAGAAAGCACTAGAAACAGTGAGTCTAGAATCTCAAATTGAATATATTAATTATTTTACAACAACTATTGCCACCTCAGGACCATAGGACATACTTCTGACTAACTTATTTATTCCATTAGGATGTTCTTAACTATTACTTATGTGAAAATTGTTTAAAGCTGAGCCTTTCTGATAGCTCATTTCAATTAAAAACCTGGGTTCAAGTGGACCTAAAAGAAGTCTTCAGTCAGGTAACTTATTTTCTTTTATTTATCCTTTTTCAAGTTTTCAAGTGTTTAGAGAAATGTTAAGGCTGAGAACTTGCCTAATCATAAAAATCATTATAGAATATTTGATAAGAATATAGAATTTTAAGGCCTTTCCCTGGAAATTGTTACATATTTTGGGGGAAGTTGATTTTTTTTTTTTTCAGTATGCTCTGTAGGTAATTTTATAATTAGGCAACTCTGATTAGATTTGTGTATAAGTTTCCTAGTTGATGTGGAGATAGGTGGCAGAGAAGGTTTTGAAGGGGTAAGAAAGAAGAAATCTGTTTGTTTGGTAAAGATCTATATTGTTGTATCTACTGATATTGGATATTGAGTGTTGGGAGTGTGTGAAAACAGAAACTGCTGGGCAGGTAGAGGTGGTTATCAGTGATTCTATCCAGGTACAGAGTCTGATGGTACAGAGCAGCATGCTGTCTAGCCTCACTGGATAAAGGGTCCCATCTGTTCCAGCTTCAGAATCGTTGATCTCCACCCCTCCAAATCAGTGTGATACTGGATGACAGTAGGTATTCAGGTTAACTAAAGTGTTCGGGAGCCAGTGCAGCAAAGCAGATATTGCCTTTTATAATTTTTCATATCCACTAGAGAGCAGGTAAATATATGACAAAGACTCTGTCACATTTACCACTAGGGATATATGAGGAACAAAATAAATAACAGTCGAGCCTCATTATTTGTGGATTCCGTATTTGCAAATTTGCCTACTTGGTAACATTCATTTGCAACCTCAAAACCAGTACTCAAGGCACTTTTGCAAGTCATTCCCAAGGCACATTGCAGACATTTGCAAGGTGGTGAAAGACTGAGTTGCCCAACGTGCCTATTCCTAGCTGAGGTTGAACAAGACAGTACTCTGCCTTCTTGTTTCAGCTCTCATACTACAAAAAGTGCCCTTTTCACAATCTATTTAGTGCCAAATGTTTGCATATTTGTGTTTTTTTGATTGGTCATTACATTGTTTATAATAGCCCTCAAGTATAGTACTGAAATGCTATGTAATGTTGATTAGTGCAAGAAAGCTGTGATATGCCTTACAAAGAAAATATACGTTAAATACGTTTTGTTCAGGCATGAGTTACAGCGATGTCACTTGTGAGTTCAATGTTAATGGGTCAACAGTACAGGCATGCCTTGGAGATATTGCAGTTTCAGTTCCAGACAACTGCAATAAAGCAAACATCATTATAAAGCCAAGCGAAATATTTTTTTTGCTTTCCTCATGCATATAAAAGTACACTAAACCATAGTCTAGTTTATAGTAGCTTTATGCCTTAAAAAACAATGTGCATACTTTAATTAAAAAATATTTAATAGCTAAAATATGTTAACTATCACCTGAGCATTTAGTGAATCATAATCACTGGTTACAGATCACCATAACAAATATTAAAAAAACAAAAAAGTTTGAAAAATGACAAGTGTTACCAAAATGTGACACAGGAACTTGAAGTAAGCAAATTGCTATTGGAACGATGGTGGCAATAGACTTCTTTGACCTGGGGTTGCCATAAACCTTCAACTGATGGAAAACGTAATTCTGTGAAGTGCAATAAAGGGGAGCACAATAAAATGAGATATGCCTGTGTATGTCGAATAAAGTTCCTACAGGCAGAAATACACATAAAACAAGGTTATATGTTGATCAATTAAGAAAATATGACCAGGAATCTTGCAGGAATCTAACCTTCCATTTCCCCTAGGAGCAATGGTGCAGTATTTGCTAATCCAGGGTTTGCCATGACATTATAGAACAAAAATGAGAATCAGCTCTATCTGTGGAGTATTATTCTTTGCAATGATAAGAAGGGACAAGAAAAATAGATTCTGGCCTAAATAAAGCATGCTAAAACTTGGTTGTACAACTGTATTCTCCTCTACACATATACCCAACCCCCTATCAAGCAGAGTAGTTAAGTGTATGACCCAGTTTTTGAGGATAGTCTAGTACCAGATAATTCAGCTTTCCTTCCTCTGAGATGAAGATGAAAGCCAAAGGTCAGCCCTAAATTCTGGACTAACATGAAAGGTAGAGAATCCCACCATGCAGTAGTTTTAGCAAAACCTAAGAGTCAACTGTAGTGTGTTGAATCCAAGATGTAGGAAGTATGTATTAACTTCCATTTCTCAAAAGAAGGGATGACAATGTGATGAGGTCCTGCTATAAGTACACATTATGCTTGTATTGCTTCTATTATTATGTAACAAATCACCCCCTGCCCCCCAATATAGGGACTTTTAACAAATATTTGTTATCTCATACAGTTTCTGAGTCTGGAATTCTGGAACAGCCTGAGTGGATGGTTCTGGCTCAGGTCCTCTCATAAGGTTATGTAGACCAAGACTTCAGTCGTCTCAAGACTCAACCAAGGCTGAAGAATCAGCATCTAAGTTCACTCAAGTTCTTATTGGTAAGCTTCCATTCTTTTCTGGTTATTGGCCCAAAGGCACCATCCTTCATCACATGGTCCTTTACACGGGGTGTCTAAGTGTTCTTATAACATGGCAGCTCACCTCCCTGAGAGCAAGTGACTCAAACACACACATGCACATACATGCACATACACAAAACCAAGATAGAATCAGTAGTCTTTAGAAGCCAAACTTGGCAATGATATACCCTTCACTTCTGCTACATTCTGTTGATCACACAAACTCTGGTACAATCTGGGAGAAAATTACACAAAGGTAAGGATACCAGGAGTGGGGATGAATGGGTAATATCTTTGAGGCTGGCTACTACAATGCAGTAAGTGAAAGTTTCACTAAGATCAGATCTAAATCTGAAGGAGGAGAGGGAAACTACCAGTGGAAAAATGTAGTAACAAATAGAGAGGAGAGGGTAACATCAGACACGCAGCATAGAAATAGGGCAGAAAAGGACCTCTGTTGACAAATTTTTCAGTCAATGACCTGATGAGCCTGAGGAAATTAATTGCATATAAGTGGAGGTTGAAATGGGAGGAAGACAGAAAAAGTGAAGAAAAGCAGATAACATTGGTACTTGACTTAGGGAAAATCTGATTCATGGAGAATCACTTGACTTTACCAAGCCCAATTAAAAAAAACACACAAAAAAAACAGAGGTTGTTTTTTAAGTCAGTGAGTAAATGGATTAAAATTCTAAGTGACTGAAATCAGTGACAAAAGACTTTTAGTCAAGCGCATCTACTTTTATTTAAAAAAATACCGTATAATCACCATATTTACCCAAACTAGTTGCCCAACTCTTAGATGAAGAAGTATCTTATCTAATTCCTGGACTCTTACAATGGTCTGAACAGGCATTTGATACTGTTCTTTGTGCTTGGAGAGGAGGTCTAAAGATGTCTTTTACTTTGACAGAGAATGCTGGGCAATATTTGACTCTCACTTCCTTTCCTGAAATTCCCTGCCTCTCTCTTTCATACCAGAGATGCCTTCCAATTATGTTTTCCGTTCTCATATGGGACTTTGAAGAGGTACTTTCTAAATTCTCTTACAGAGCAACTACACAATAACCAGATAAGGAAAATGTAGCCCATAAAGACATAGAAAATACCCAATGCTTAATTCCACTGCTTCATAAGTCATGACTTAGATGAGTTCTGTGGGGTAGCAGCCTTGCTCTGCCATGGTTTCCTTGGTTGTTTTCCAAATGCATGTTCATAAGAAAGCACTGCAGCTAGCAAATGGCAGAGAAGCCTCTAGTCTGATTCTGCAAGATTGTCTACTGTTGAACAGTTACTAGATGGCAAGCTTTATGTTAAATGATAGGTAAATATTCATATGCTTGACAACACTACTAAGGAAGTATATATAACTGGTATAATGTATTTTATACCATGGGCATGTATTTACAGCCTTGGCCTGAAACATTGTTTGAAATGTCTCTATAATGTCATCTAGAACATGGTGATCCTTGACTCTGCTGTCACTCGGTATAGTTGTATGCTTAGAAGGAAGTCAGGATTTCTATCTCACCCTCATCCCCCGCATGATAGGAAGCTTTTGGAGGTCAGAAACGTCAACTTTGCTCTCTCTTTCATAGCATACTAGTGTGTATAGTAGGTGATCCACAAATATTGAGTAATTGCCGCAAAGCTTCTCTTCCCTGTCATAACACTAATTGCATCCAGTGGGTGTTCAATTCAAATCAATTTGATTCAACAAACATGTATCGACAACTTCTCATTCTGCTGGCACGAAACCAGTTATAATGTGTGCTTTCTGCCCCCAGGAAAATTCTAAAATATTTCCCCAAATTGAAAGTCAAACAGTATCAGATCCCTTTGCCAGTGATCAGCAGGAGCCAAGTTAGAATTAGCATCAACAATGAGAGCAGCCCTGACAGGGAAGAAAACATTGCTTTCTCTGAGCTGAGGTTTCCATCTCTGGCATTCTGTCACCTCACTACTTGTCCAGGCAGACACAAGTAAGCCAAGGCATTAGATTGGCTAAAACTAAAGCTTCTGGTGGGAGTCTGGTAAAATGTCACCACTGTACGTAAGTGGATACCGCTTACCTGGGGAGATCTCTGATAATTTACTATTTTTACTAGGTTTGTCTTTAGTGATTTGTACTCTGGGACTGGACTTATGTATACAAATAAATACATTCATACTCAGAAATAATGATTCTGAAAGTCTAACCACCGGTTATTCAGATGATGCTACCTTTTGAAAATTCTTCTTCTGAAATTACTTTCAGAACCAGTTGAAGTACCCCAAAGAAAGAAAGTACACCAAGCACATCCTTTTCCTTGCTCAAGTATCACAGTTAACTTCATTTTGCATAATGAATATTGCCATGCTGATTCTCAAAATCTTACTCAACCTCCGCGGCTAATAAAGGAAATTTGGAAATTAAAAAAAAAAAAAACAATAACAACAGCAAAACTGTTTTTTCAAAAGATGTAGATTTGGGACATGTCATTGAGTGGCTTTAGTGAACGGACATCTATTAACTACTTGACCCTCATAAATATAGCTGGTGCCACCACGGGAGACAGAAGTGGTCAGAATTTATTTAGGCACTATATAGATTTTTTTTTTAAAGCATAGAATTGAGAGAAAAACTAGAGAAAATGAAAATTTAGTCAGTTTAGTACAAGCCAGTAAATACAAAAAGCTATAAATTAATGATTCTTTGTTTTTAAATATTTATTTTTGAGAGAGAGAGACAGATTGTGATTATGCATCAGAAGGGGAGGGACAGAGAGAGAGGGAGAGACAGAATCCCAAGCAGGCTCAGCATGAGCCGTGAGATCATGACCTGAGCTGAAATCAAGAGTTGGATGATTAACTGACTGAGTCACCACGCACTCCTGTAAACTGACGATTCTTAGGATCAATATGATTATATCTATTAAATCCTTGACTGGTTCAGGATCTTAAGAAAACATTCATTCTGCACTGGGGTTGGAGCAGGGCAGAAACAGAGATAACTTCTCAGGGACTCAAGAAAAGATGACCCTGCACAGGTGATTCATTAGATGTGTACAAGGCTATGGGGAGAAACGTGGGACCACTGATGAGCAGATTAAGGTCAAAGTGAAGCAGGGCCACTCTGCAGTGGTGACTAACAAGTGTCATCGCAGAACAGATGGGATGAATTGTAGGAAGGCACCCAGAACAAATACTTTTGGCCCTGTTCTCTCCTTCTGTGTCTGTAACTGGTGTGACCACACCACTCTATTTACACCACTGCTTGAAGCTGATATTTCCTTTCCGTTCCCAGCATCATGGCCCGTCACATCCAAGCTGGATAACTGTAATCTCCTTTCCCCTCGACTTCCTAGTGTGAACAGATGCTGTGATACCTCAAATTGTTATCTGTTACAATAAGAAAAAAATATAGTTTAGAAAATACCCTTTGCTGAGGGAAAATAAATTCCAAGTCCTTTTCTTTACCAACTGAAGAGCCCTATGAAAGCTGGGTCCATTAGCAAATCCTCCTCGAGAAGATCTCTGATAATCTAAAACCTCATGTAGGAATACCTGGCAAATAATCTTAATGATGGAAAGAAGAAATTACATATAGTTTATATAGAAGTGTTCAAATAGACACTCAATTTAGGAGGGGAATAGAAAGAAGTAATATTCAGAAAATGTTGAGGTTCTACCATTTGCATAGAGAAACATCAATATGAAATATTCCTGCCATCGAGAAGTATTCACTTTAGTTGAAAAAAAGATTTTTAAATATTAAGTGTAGCACATTAGTTCAGCTAATAGATAATGATAATTTTACCAGGAAAAATCTGGAAAGTAGATTTTGACTTCTTCAGTTACCAAAGGACAAGGTGCTTTTAAAATAAGACAATAGCAACCAAACTATCCGAGTGCTATGTGGATCTATTTTTGAGGAAATATCTCTCAGTCACCTTGTATATGTTTACCATGACCCGGAACAGTCTGACCTGGCTCTGATTTAAGACTTAGATGTGTGGAAGAGACAAGAAAGTAAATAGTAACTTAGAAACAAATGAATGAATTAGAAAAAAGAATTAACTTCAGCCAAAGTGCCACATGGTTAAGCAAGTTTCCACAATGCAATATACATTATTCCTCCATTCTTTTGGTAATATAATTCACATAGCAAATTAAAATCTCACGAAATCTTATTTTGAAAAGCCAAATACGCTTTTTGGATCCAACATACTTTTCAAACAGAGCAGAATCATTTTTCTTTTTTTCTATTTATAACCAATGAAATTAATTTATGCACAGCATACGTTTTATGTACGATATTCCTGTAGTTGTTAAGAGCAAAGGTTTCCTGTCAGTCAGCACAGGGTTGAATTCCCAGACCTGCTGCTTATTAGCAGTTTGACCTGAGAAAGTTTCAAAGACTCACACCTTTGTTCCTTTCCTTTCAAAGGGTAATAGTAGCATCCATTTGGGTTGAGAAGGGGTGCTGCGCTCAGTTCCTGTTACAGTGAAAACTGATTATTATATTAATAACACATGAAGCACTTAATATTATGTTAATTAAAAAGTGTATAAAAGTCTTGGAAAAGCGTGGCTCCCTGGAGATCACCCTACTTGTACACCTGCGTGGAGCAGTGATGAGGAAATCTAGACAGTCTGCCCCAAGACATTGAGAAATAGGCGCTTGGCTGCTCTAGTCTGTCTCCTAGAACTCCCAGTACTCCCACCCTCAGATTTTCCCATTTCCTCCTGGGCTCCCTGAGCATCTTCCAGGGGATCTACACTGACCCCTGGCCTCAGCCCTGCACTTTTGCTCACGTTCCTGCTACGCAGGAGCCGCTGTTTTCGCAATACTGAAGGCAAAAGCAATGAAGGACTGAACTATTTTACTTTAAATACTCCCAATCACACAAAGTCTGTCCTCTCTGGGGAATAGTGCAGGGAGTCCCACACTAGGCCCAGGACCCTCCGGCATCCACGCAGCCCTTGTGCTGTCGCCC